AAAAATATTCTATACATATGAAATTGACATTGGGCGCGGGTACCCGCTGGGCGGGGCTTGTATAAGCATAATATTACTAGGGATTCGAATATTATAGAAAACTTAGGACTAAGAAATTTAATGCTAAAAGACACAAAATTTAAATCCATTTACCATGCATCAATTAATAAAATTTTAAAAGACTTTCTTAATGATTTCAATAATTTTTGTTTAAAGATATCAAATAATTCTTTTTACCGTTATGTATGTTAACAGAATGGAAATGGGAAGTTTATTATTACTTTAAAAACTTTGCTTTCAATAATAAGAAAAATTTAGATAACCTTTAACCAAATTTTTCTTGATTGATCAATTAAGCAACTACAAACAAATTTTGTAATAACCCCCATAGACAAGGCCAATAATAACTATGCAAGCTACTATAGAAAAAAAATTCTATATTAAACTTTTAAATAAAGAGTTAAAAAATAATAAAAAAAATAAAGCTTAGTTATTTAAATGACATTATCATTTAAAACGTTTTAGCTCTATTTAATAGGTTAAAAATTAATAATATACAATTTCCATACTTAATTATCAGTCCAAAATTGCACGAAAATCCTATTAAATCTAGAACAATCACCTGTCGGTTTAATACTTACCAAAATAGACATGGCTCGATTTTTTCTAACTACATAAATAAAACTATAAACAATATTATTAAAAAAGGTTTTTCTGGGATTACCACTTTAATAATCAACCGATTTTAGAATCTATTGAACAAAATAAAATTAATTTTATTGCGACTTTTGGGATTTCTTCAATAGCATTCCCCTTTCAAAACTAAAAGATGTTCGTTGGAGTTATTACTATGATTTTAAAAATATCCTTAATTGCGATTTTGATTATTGAAAAATTCTAATAACCATTTGCCTTTTTAATAACTATCTTTAAGATGGTAAGCATATTTTTATTCAAACTCATGGTGTACCAAAAGGATCTAATTTTTCATCTCTCTTAACTGATTTATTTTTACATTTTTCTGAAAAAAATAATACTCTTAATATTAAACTTGTTTTTAGATTTATTGATAATTTAATTATCCTTAATTTTCAACATTATACAATTATGCTAAATAATATTTACCAATTATTAATCTTGCTTCGTAATCATGATAATATTAATTTTAGTTTTTTGGATTTAGGTATTAAAGAAGAAGAAAATATCTCATTGTTGATTTATACTATAAAAGAAATGATTTTAATTTTAATATAAATGGACTAATTATTTGGAATTTTAGTGTTTCTAAAAAGATTTATTTAAATACCAGATTCAATCGAATGGATAGACAAGAAAGAATATGTAGTAATGATTACTTATCCAAAAAACAAATCGACAAACTCTTTCAAAATTTGATTAAAAAAAACAATGGATACCCAACTAATGTAATTATGAAATCCTTTATTAAATCATTGAGTTAATTATACGATATTATTAGTAAATTTATTAAAAACTTCTTTGTCAACTAAATTTACACTTTTACCATGTGCAAATCCAATTCGGGCAAATCTATGGCTAAAAATCTGCACAAAACGGGCTATTTATTTTTAATAAATGTTAATGATTTTTCTAAAATCATTAAAATTGCATAATTAAATATCAACCTTATTAATTATAAACTTTAACTTATCCAGCCTAATATTATTATCTAATATTATTATCCTAATATTATTATCCCATTTCCCGCCCAATCCAAGGTAACTAATAAATCCATTATGTTTAAATACTATAGTAAGAACACGCCATAAGTTGATCCTTATACTAATGCTTCTAACCTCCATTTACAATTCCATTTTCATAATTTGTAATCTTGAAAACTAGTTAGGAAAATATTTTAATCTTTATCGAAACAATGTCAAAATCTTTAACTTAAATATTAAAAAAGACACATTTTCACAGCTTAAGGAAAACGTTATTCCAGAAATAGTAAAATACTTCTTTTATCGTGAGTAATTGTAATGTGTTGAAGACGTCTTCTTCCATTTTAATATGGAAGTTCTAACTAACTATTATAACTAATACTCAAGCAAACAAAATAATGTAGTTTTCAATAATTTAGCGTAATTCTTTATACGATTGAAATTAATTGACGCATAAATGAACAGGTAGGGCTATGAGTGTTTGTTGTAAAAACAAACACTCATAACCCTACGTAAATTAAGGAGTATTGCATAAGATAAGAGGGTGAAAAAGGGTGCAAAAAGAAAGTATAATTTCCCTCGCTGTACATAATTGAAAAAAAAAATGGCACCCTTTTCCTCACACCAATTTTTACGAATAATAAAATTAATAATTTAATAAACTGTGAATCACTCTTTACAATCATTGTTTGTTTTATTTTACTGTCTTGTTTGATCAGAAGAGTTATTTGTATCTTATTTTATTTTATTACCGTCATTGAGCAGCCTACTCAATTTTTTGGGTTTAAGACTATCAATTTCCGTTGCCTTGTAATTTTGAACCTAACCTAGAAGAAAAGGGAACTTCTGGATCAAGTATTGGACGAAATTTGCCTTCGTGGTGGACTTTTTGATGGAACTAATTCGCATTTGCGTTACATGGAGAAGAAAACCACGAAAACCTCCCACGGTTATCTTGACGACAAGGGACCCTAACCCATAATCCGTCTACCACTGGGGATATTTTACGTCAGCACTGTGGTCGATGATTCGGAGATTCCCAGATTCGGAATTCGCATCGACCAGCCATCGCTAGAATTCGAACCCGGCTCACCTCATTGGAAGGCAAAAGCTCCAACCTCTGAGCCATCACGGCTCAAAGTTATTTGTATTGTCCATTTTCATATTATCTACTGTTCGAAAATGATTCGTCTGATTTCATTTACTTATTTTAATTCATTCTTCATTTTTTAATTTTCCACCCATTCTTATTTGAGAAAATTAAAAATACTTATTAAGGAACATCTTAGGTAAGCAATGTGTAACAATCGATGCATGGAATTTCTAAAATCTATGTATTTTTCGAAAACATGTATGCATTTACTATGCTTTAATTTTTTTTTAGCTGGGGATTGCTCTGGGATTCATTATTCCACCATTTGTAATTGAAAACAATTGCACAGATGATGTAAATATATCTTATGAACTCAGTATAATAACATATCCAATAGCAGTTATAAATGGAGTCATATTACTACTAACGATTTTTGGTGAGTAGATTTATTTCCCGAATATTTCCATCTATTCTTTACCCCAATTTATGTGTCATTTTCTAAAATTCAAAGTGCCCTATGAAGATTTTTACATTTTTAATCAATCAAATTCTGCATTAATTCATCCCAAACAGAAAGTTTCTCCTAGGACTCCTGATTTAATTTGAATAACAACTCAAAATTGATGTTTAATATCAGAATTTATCATTTTATTTATTATTTGTGTTAATTCAGAGATGGCGCTGCCATCGCATTGCTTTTGGGAGTTACCTCGTTCCTAAAAGGAGTCATTATTATTCCATCTGGCAACGAGTAAGGTTGTCCGGCTTAAGACCATCCGTGTATGTTTTGTTTTCTTAATTTTTAAAAAATCTTGTTAAGTTTAATTTTGGAGTTTATTCAATAAATCCATACACACGGACCGCTGATACTACATGGTGATTTATAAGTAGGGCACTACATTTGGTGGAACTACTGTAGTCGCTATTTTTTCGTAGTTTGTCGTGTAGTGTGCTACTTTTTTAAAAAAAAAAATAGTGCAGTGAGTGGTTCAATGCAAAAAAAACAGTAGTTTGTAGCAATTCCTGCCAACTACTTTTTACGTTAGCACGGTAGAGAAGCAGAGTTCTAATACAACTTATTTTTCGAAATTTGATGGGTTCAAATCTTCGCAAATCTGTCAGTGGACGCGATTTAAAATGCCCCTATGACTATGAGTGAACAAGAATTGCGTATTTAGAGTTACATATAACTAATATTTGAGATAGCCATTAGAATAACGTATAATTTATCACTTTGGTCCCATTTTCTCATGTGAATGTAAACTCGTGATATTATTTTAAAGGAAAGGAAGATAGTTTCGATGTGCTTAATATCTTAGAAGAGCATTAAACACTTTACTAAATTGCAAGTACAGTACAGAACCCGTTATCCGGAAATCAGAAAACCGGAAAACCAAATAACCGGAACGAAATTCGATAAATTTTCCCACCATTTTTGAAAAAAACAAATGTTTTTCTCCTCATAAGATTTCAAGATTTTTCTTTCTTTTTTGAAAGATGTTAACCTTACCATCATTTTGGAAACAATTATTAGTGTATTACTTCATCGTTTTTTTCTTCTTTTTAAGATCATTTCCAAATATATTTTTTTAGTTGAATTTGACAATAAAAAAACGTCTTTTTGTAGCGATTCAGAAAACCGGAAAAATCAGTTATCCGGAATAGCGATGGTCCCGATCGTTCCGGATAATCGGTTCCCTACTAAATGTAGTAGTAACTACATTTCGAAAGTAGTTTGTAGTCACTACATTTTTTTTAAAAAAAGTAGTTTTAGTTAATTACATTTGTAACAAAGTAGTTATAGTAAACTATAAAAATAATTTAGTTTTTCCGGCCACTGCTCTGGAGGGGATACGAAGGAATATGATATGAAGGACGGAGGAAGAAGACAGTGAATCTTCAACATTTTCGCTATTTTGTACCTTATTTTTGTTATTTTGCACGTTAGTTTCTGGGAATGATTTTATTTCGTAAAAATCGTTGTAGAAATTTATATTGCTTTTTTTTTACGCTTTAGTACTTTCTCCTAGGTGTTATAGGGCAGATTATTGACTTTAATCTTGTTATTTTTTTTTTTAAATTGATATTTTAAACTTTTATCTAGATCAAGCTAATAAAATAGGGTTAATCTAGAACAAGGTCAGAATTTTTACCTTGTTCAAATGCTTCGATACAAGATTTTGATTATTTTTTTTTATTAAGATATGACATCAAATATATATTCTGTCTCGAAATTTTGCTCTGTGTAAATGAATTCCTCTATAATAAGGGTGCACAACTTTTTTGAGTGTAGGGCCACTCGCACAGCACGTAGATTAACGAAGGGCCGCACACATATTTAGTCATGTCAGAGGCAAATATAATAAGTTTTATCTAAGCATTAGTTGTCTTTGCACCAAATATTTTTATCAGTAAACTTAATAACATGTTTGCAAAAAATTAAATACTTTTAATTATTTTAATTTATTTGAAACTAAAGAAACTGATACATTCTTTTGAAAATTTTTTTCAATTTCTCACAATAAATAANTTTTTTAATTTATTATACGCACTAGGTAAATACCTGTTCTTTCGTACGTACAAATATTAATAAATCACTACTGCATAAATATTGGGAGGAGGATATAATGTTTAAGCAAAATTAAAGGAATTTTTTTTTATTGTGTTCAGAAGTTCCTGCGGGCCGCATGTGGTCAGCCGGCCATGGGTTGTGCACGCCTGCTCTATAACATGATATTAATTTATTTAGTAATTTATATTCCTGTTTCATTCAGTGTTTCAGGGGAAGCCAGATAAATTTCCTAGTATAGCTCAAGCTACGAAAGAAGTAAATGCTGATTATTTGTCGTCGTTAAAACAGCTTGTTACGGACCGGAGCTTCATGTTCCTCTTCATGGCATATGGTACTACTGTTTTTGTATTATATAGACAATACAATTATTTCAATTTTTACACAGAAAAATTCAAAATTATTTTTCAAAAGTGTACACGTAGGTTAGAAACTTTGTAGCAAGCAAGGACCCTACAAAACTATATGGTCTAAAACGCAACGCAGACACGCTACTTTCTCAAAAAAGTAAATAAATAAATTCAAAAAAATGCGAGCGTGGTTGCTAGTATAATGATAATTTATTGCAAATAAAAATAGTTTATTTAAACTAACACGTTTTTTATTATTTTTTTACTTAATAACAATATTTAATTTACTTTATTTTGAAATAGGCAATTTTGATTATTGGTATTTTAATGCTAAACTAAACTCAGTGGCACGACAGCCCATAGAGGGTCAAGGCCTACTGTGCCCATCTCAGTTTTCTTGACCTTCGGGTTCTGGGGTGCAAAAGCAGATGTTCTGGCTGGATGATCAGTCCAACTCGGAACCCCCAAGGTTTAGTTCCCAAGCATGCTTGGTACTCATTTTATCAACCCAGTNTTTTTTTACATCTAAGCTAAACTAAACTCAGTGGCACGACAGCCCATAGAGGGTCAAGGCCTACTGTGCCCATCTCAGTTTTCTTGTCCTTCGGGTTCTGGGGTGCAAAAGCAGATGTTCTGGCTGGATGATCAGTCCAACTCGGAACCCCCAAGGTTTAGTTCCCAAGCATGCTTGGTACTCATTTTATCAACCCACTGAAGGGATGAAAGGCTGAGTCAACCTTGCCCTTCCCGAGGATCGAACCTAGGACCTGTGACACGACACCGCTAAGTGCTACCACATTTGAACGTTAGGAACCAACAAACTAAAATTATTTTTGACCCTTAGACCATTTTGAATCGTAAATCTTGACTTCAGTCGATCATATTATTAATTAAGTTATACCTATTTAAAAAAAATACAAAAAACGTTATTAAAAAGAAACTTTATTGAAAAATATTAAAATAAATATTAAATACACTGAGTAGAAATAATATTTGGCTCAAGGTATATGTATTTGCCTCATTACAAGTATATACACTGTTATAACTATAGAAATTGTATTCTAAAGACTACACTATTTACTCTTAGTTATTAACTATAGAAATTGTATTCTAAGGATTACAATAATTAACAATATTTACTCTTAGTTATTAACTAAGGACTACAATAATTAACACAATAATTGCAATAAATCCTAAGGATTACAATAATTAACAATATTTACTCTTAGTTATTAACTAAGGATTACAATAATTAACACAATAATTACAATAAATCCTATGGACTACAATAATTAACAATATTTAGTCTTAGTTATTAACTGTAGAAATTGTATTCTAAGGATTACAATAATTAACAATATTTACTCTTAGTTATTCATAAATATTTCAAATTACAGGTTTCATTGTAGGCACGTATCTGGCAATGTCAACTTTAATGAATGAAATGGTTTTAATTCATTTTCCAGTAAGTATTTGTAATTGTTTTCCGGTGAATTATTGTCATGTTACCGAAAATGTCAACCTGCCATCCATCAAAAGGTACTTCATCGCAGATTCGAGTTAACATGTCTTATATACTAGTCAAAGGTAATTTAATAATGGTAGTTGCACATTACCTCCTAACCAGAATCTCTGATAGAATTTGATGAATGGATACCGATAGTTAATGCATTGCTGTTTTGCGAGAGGCCAGGAGAGCTGTATTAAGATCACCAGGATTTGAATGCTGGTCGTGAAAGTTGGATTAAGATCACATTTGTGGGCGTGGTCGCTCCTGTGCTGCCATTAGCAGTCTAGTGTGTACAGTCCTCCGTTGTGTGTGATTGAGATTGAGTAACAACAGCGCGAGGACAATGTCGCAATCAAAAATTGCAAGTCAACTACTCGCTGTGAACCATCCATTGAATTGGGCGAGTTCAAATCCATGTGGGCGTTTCTGTCCAGGTAGGCTTGTTGGTCGAAGCAGGCCTGTTCAGATCACGTCCGGGTCACCAATTTGGGGGTATGCTAAAACAAATGTCAACCGGCATCTATCAAAATGTCGCATGTAAATAATGATATTGGTGTTTTAGTTCTATTTCTCCATTAATTTTGCATTTTAATGCATAGCTTATTATTTTACTTCAATTAGTAACTATTACCAAAAGTAATCATCACTGACTTCAAATAAAGATATTAGTGTGTTTTTCTGTTTATCCTCAATGAGTTTGTTATATTTCTCCGTTAATTTTGCTTTTCAGTACAAAATCTCTTTTTTTTAAATTTCAAATACCACTGATTTTAAATTATTTTGTTTATTTTTAACATGCTTTAAAATCATAACTGTAAACAAAATGAAAGCACTGTTTCAGATTATCTTAAAAATGCTAATTTAGTGACGTAGTTTGCTTATGCTACGATCTAGCAATACTAATCTAGCAAAACGAATAAAAGTAATTAATTATTACTAAGCGAGCATTAAACAACTTTTTTGATTAAAGCAAGAAGGTAGCAAATATCACTCATGTTATTTTTAAAATATTTGATGAAACTGAATTGTCCATAATTTAAAACAATGCCAATTTTTAAACAAATATCAATAATTCATGCAAAATAACAATATTATATATTTTTTGTATATTATATTTGTCATATACAAGCTTGTTTACGCAATTTGTTTAGTAATATTATATCATATTTATTATTATGCAATACTATATATTTGGTTTGAAATAATGACTTCTGGTAAAACAATCAGAATATTCAATTTCTGAAATGTTTCTGTATTAAAAAGATAATTAAAAAATCAAAAATTGTAATTTAGCTTCATGTTGATTGTCGTATTTTTTCGGCTTTAGGATTACTCGCTATCCGGACAGGCAAGCACGAATTTTTTAATTTATTATACGCACTAGGTAAATACCTGTTCTTTCGTACGTACAAATATTAATAAATCACTACTGACAACACTGCTAAGTCATGTACAAAAAGGTAATACAAATACCGACAAAAAATAAAGCTGAAAATAATTCCAAAATTTTTTCTTTTTAATTATTTGTTGCCCTTTCTGGAATCATAACCCTAGCAGCAAAATAACTTGGGTTGTCATTGAACCAATATTCACGAATCTCTCAATAAGTGTATTACAATATTCACGAATACAGTATTCATAAGGGTAATACAATATTCACGAATACAATATTCATAACGGTATTACGATATTCACGAATACGATATTCATAAGGGTAATACAATATTCACGAATACAATATTCATAAGGGTAAGACAATATTCATAAGGGTAATACAATATTCATGAATATTCTCAGTAAGGGTTCAAAGCAGGGCTCGAAAAAACTCAGAAATTTTACCCGTTCCCGAGGACGGCTTGTCCAACAATGTACCCGTCCACCTTTGAAACTAACCCGTCACTTCTAAATAAATAAAAATATAATTATCTCTTATTTATTACTAACAATTATATAAATTGCGCAATGAATTAGTAGTTACTAGGATTACAAATACTAGGATAACATTATATGGTAATAAAAGAAATACTAGGTTACTAATAATAAAATCTAGTATTTCTTTAATGAAATAATTTATTTCTTTAATGAAATAATTTAAATAACAAAGGTCAAGTTATCTGTCAATTATGTCAATTTATCCGATGGTACTGCGTTTTTTAAATGAATCAAATACGACGTTTGCCAGTTCCACAATCAAGCCAATGATTTACAGAGGTTTCTGCACAG